TATATTTAGTCCATATATGATTAATGAAGGCTCCTTACAAAACAAACCAAAAACACAAGAAAGGGGTAAGAGCAAAAATCAACAAAAAACCAAAAATAAAAGAAAGAAAGGAAAAGAGAGTAAAGGTGAGAATCCGGGTTGCCTCCCGTAAGCGCTTTTGTTTAACGTCGCTAGCTCGACGTTTACCACCCCACTCAAGGTGGTTTAAAAAGAATCATTTTATGAATAAGGCCAACAAAGACTCCATCAAAATATTTATTAAGCCGATGACCGTTAACCTTGAAAGAAGATGAGGAATCCAAAGGAGAAATCTTCACGGTGCGATTAGCAAAAACATCTTTCACCAAGAAAGGACCACTCCATTTTGACATGAGCTTTCCGGGAAATAACTTCATTCTCGAGTGGTAGAGGAGGACTTTACCACCCACAAAAAACTCCTTCTTCTCAATAAGATTATCATGAGCTTCTTTGGAACGAGGTTTGTAGGTGCTAGAACAGTCGTAAGGATCAAGTCTAAGATCTACTAGCTCATGAAGGTCCAACCACCTTTTCTCCGCAACACTTTCTAAATCAAAGTTTATCTTTTTGATTGCCCATAAAGCACGGTGTTCAAGCTCCACCGAGAGATGGCAAGACTTGCCATAGACAAGGCGATATGGAGTGGTACCAATAGGCGTCTTAAAAGCCGTCCTATAAGCCCAAAGAGCATCATCTAACTTGTCCGACCAATTCTTTCTATTCCTTGCAACCGTCTTCTCAAGAATGAACTTATTTGACGATTGGAGACCTCAACTTGGCCACTCGATTGAGGATGATATGGGAGGCCGAACCGTTGATGCACTCCATGTTTCCTCTACATCTTTTGGAAGGCGTTGTGAACAAAATGAGATCCGTTATCGCTTATCATAGCCTTAGGCACGCCAAACCTTGGGAAGATGATTTTGTTGAACAACTTCAACACTACTTTGTGGTCATTAGTAGGGGAGGCAATGGCCTCAACCCATTTAGAAACATAGTCAACAACCACAAGTATGAATTGATTACCATATGAAGATGGGAATGGTCCCATGAAGTCAATCCCCCAAACATCGAACTCCTCTAACTCAAGAATGGGTTGTTGAGGCATCTCATGCCTCTTGGAGATATTTCCAACCCTTTGACATCGGTCGCATGACTTTAAAAAGCCCCACGAATCTTTGAAGAGATGTGGCTACCACAAACCACACTGAAGAACCTTAATGGCGGTCTTTGAAATGCCCATATGACCGCCACTTGGATCCGAATGGCACGTCTTTAGAACACTTGGCACCTCTTCATTCGGGACACAACGCCAAAGAAAACCATCCACCCCGCGTTTATACAAGATTGGTTCATCCCACAGGTAATGTCTTGCCTCCCTCTTGAGCTTCTTCTTTTGGTTCTTGGAGAAAGAAGGTGGAAACTCCCCACATGCTAGAAAGTTCACCAAGTCAGCATACCATAGGAGATCCTTAACCTTAATGGCATACAAGACATCATCAAGCATTCTATCTTCAATTGGTAGACCATCATCATGAATTTGATCACCCTCAAGGCGAGAAAGATGGTCCGCCATAACATTTTCCGCACCCTTCTTATCCCTAATCTCTATTTCAAGAGTTTGTAATTCAAGCACCCAACGAATCAACCTTGGCTTGGACTCTTTCTTGGCAAAGAGATACTTGAGAGCCGCATGATCCGTGAAGACAATGGTCTTGGAACCAAACAAATAACACCGGAACTTCTCGAAAGAGTGAACAATGGCCAAGAATTCTTTTTCCGTTGTTGTGTAATTCTTTTGGGCCCCATTTAGTGTCTTGGACATATAGTAAATCACATAAAGCATCTTGTCCACACGTTGTCCCAAAACACCTCCAATTTCCCAATCACTAGCATCACACATCAACTCAAAGGGTAGATCCCATCTTGGGGCTTGAACAATGGGGGTAGAGATTAGGGCCTTCTTCAATCTATTAAATGCTTCCAAGAATTTATCATCAAAAACGAACTCAACATCGTTTTAAAGAAGATCATAAAGGGGCTTGGCAATGAGTGAGAAATCCTTGATGAATCTTCTATACAAACTCGCATGACCCAAAAATGATCTCACTCCCTTGACATTCACCGGAGGTGGAAGCTTCTCAATAACCTCAATTTTGGCCTTATCCACCTCTATCCCTTTATGAAAGATCTTATGCCCAAGCACTATCTCTTCCTCTACCATGAAATGACATTTATCCCAATTCAAGACAAGATTAACCTTTACACACCGAGCCAAACATTTCTCAAGATTAACTAGGCACTCTTCAAATGAAACCCCACCTACGGAGAAATCATCCATAAATACCTCCATATCTTCCTCCAACATGTCTCAAAAAATGCTCATCATGCACCTTTGGAAAGTTGCGGGGGCATTACAAAGGCCAAAGGGCATTCTCCTATAGGCAAAGGTCCCTAGGGGCATGTAAATGTTGTCTTCTCTTGATCTTTGGGGTGGATTGGAATTTAGAAAAATCCCGAATAGCCATCAAGGAAGCAATAGAACTTGTGCCTTATTAGTCTCTCTAACATTTGATCAATGAATGGAAGGGGAAAGTGATCCTTTTTGGTGGATGTATTTAGACGTCTATAGTCTATACACATCCTCCAACGTCTATAGTCTAGTTGGAATGAGCTCACCACTCTCATTCTTGACTACGGTCATACCCCCCTTCTTAGGAACGACATGAACGGGAGAAACCCACCTAGAGCTTGAGATGGGGAATATGATTCCCGCATCCAAGAGCTTGGTGATCTCTTTTTTCACCACCTTTCCCATTTGAGGGTGTAGCTTTCTTTGTCGTTCAATAGAAGGAAGGGTGCCTTCCTCAAGCGTTATGTGGTGCGTACACAAAGCGGGGCTTAGACCTTTAAGATCATCGATAATATAGCCCAAAGCACCTTGGTGCTTTCTCAAGACACAACATAACGCTTGAGCTTGGCTCTCGCTCAAGGTTGCACTAACAATTACGGGGTAAGTGGAATTTGGGCCTAAGAATTCATACCTAAGGTGTGATGGTAGAGGTTTGAGCTCTACCATAGGCACACCTTTACCTTCTTTTGTTGCGGCCGCTTGCAAAGCTTCATGGCTTGACATCTTCAAGCACATTTGTTCATCCACTTCCTCCATGCTTCCATTAAGAAATTCCTCATACAATGCTATCTCCTTGCATGGTACACTTAGCTTGTCTTTGTTCAACAAAACATTCTCAAGAGCATCGTTAGAGGTGAGCAACTGCTCATGCATGGAAGACACAACATGATCAAGAGAGTCAATCATCATGAAATTTTCAAGAGAAGAATTTGGATATTTCATACTTTCATTCAAATCGAATTCTATGACCTCATCTCCTACCTTAAGGGAAATCTTTGCACACTTTACATCTATCATAGCCCCCGAGGTAGCAAGAAAGGGTCTACCTAGAATAATTGGAATGGTGGCATCTTCATCCATTTCTAAGACAACAAAATCCATCGGGAACACAAACTTCCCAACCCTCAACGGAACATCTTCCACTTTACCTTTTGGAAACTTGATTGACCTATCGGCTTATTGCAAGGTAATGTAAGAAGGTAAGAGTTCCCCTAGATTAAGTCTTTGATAAACCGAATATGGCATTAAGCTTACACTAGCTCCTAAGTCACATAAGGCATTATCAAATTGCATCTTGTTAATAGCATAAGGGATAGAAAAGTTTCTGGGGTCTTTCAACTTAGGTGGCATTTTGTTCATGATGATCGCACTACAATTTTCAGTCAAATTGATTGTCTCCACAACATCACAAGTCCTCTTTCCGCTCAAAATTTCTTTGAGGAATTTTGCATAATTAGGCATTTGGTTGATCACATCGGTGAAAGGTAGAGAAAGGTGAAGTCGTTTGAGCATATCAATAAATATCCCAAATTGCTCATCCAATTTGTGTCTCATGAAATTTTTGGGATAAGGGAGCTTGGGTTTCACAATCTCTTTCTCTACACTCACCTCTCTTGGTGTCTCAACCACAACCTCATTTAAAGATGCTCTACATCACTCATTCTCAACTAAAACTTCCTTTGGGACCTCCTTGTTATCACTCCTCCTTAGTAATCTCTCCTCAAGAACCTTACCACTCCTTGTAACAATAGAATTCACGGGTTTCTTGGGATCTAGGCCTTTGGAAGGTAAAGAAGAAGGGCTTGATTGGTCTTTCAAAGCACTAGCAAGTTGAGAAATTTTGTTTTTTGAGCATTTTGTTGTGGATCATCATTTCATTGAACTTCTTGTCACTAACGGCCATATATGTGTTCAACAACTTGGTTTGATTTTCAATTATTTCCTCCAAATTGGTCCTATAAGAAGATTGTGAATAGGAATTTTCACCTTGAGTCTTTGGAACAAACCCGGGTGGGGGACCTCTTTGAGAATTATTTTGAAAATTGCCCCTACCTTGATTGTTCCAATTACCCCTATTTTGATTTTGACCATAACCTTGATTATGGTTTCCACTACCTTGGTTATGATTTCCATAACTTTGGTTTTGATTACCATAATTTTTGTTTTGATTTTGAATACTATAACCTTGATATTTATAGTTGCCACGAGAACTTTGGTTCCCTTGGTTCCTATAACCACCACCTTGGTTATAATTGTTAAAACTACCTTGGTTTTGGTAATTCCTATTCCATTGACCTCTTTGATTATCAAACCTTTGCACATTATTATTTGACACATAATTCACATGCTCACTCTCACTATTATTGAAATCATCACCACAATCCGGAGAAGCATGAGGGCAATTACAAGAGTAATAATCATAAGATCCACATGCATCACAAATAGGGGTGAAACAAATTCGGGTTAAAACCGAACCAAACCGAAAACCGAACCGAATAAGAAATATGGTTCGGTTTTTTTTCGGAAATGGTTCGGTTCGGTTTTTAAAAAAAAAAATAATTCGGTTTTCGGTTTGGTTTCGGTTTGAGGAAATAAAAAACCGAAAAAAACCGAAAACCGAAATTTTGGCCCAACATAAAAAAAACCCTTGGCCCAGCCCAAATTTACCCTAAGTATAAAATCAGAAAAAAAAAAACCCTAAGTCCCTAACCCTCAATCCCTCATTCTCTCTCGGTCTCTCCTAGTCTCCTGACTTCCTCTCCTCTAATCCTCTTGCGAATTTCTCAGTTTCATTGCGAATCCAGATAGCTCACCTTTTCAGTTTCACTCTCCACCGTTGCCGTTCACCACTTCACCACTTCACCGTTCAGATTGGTGAGTGTTCGTTTGTTTTTTTGTTTTTTTTGGTTTGGTTTACTTGGATGTTTTTCTTGTATTCATGATTTTGATTCCAATTTTTATGCAATGCAATGGTTGTGTACTTGTATAGTTGTATTATGTAAATTCTTCTCTGTAACTTTTAATTTTGGTAATTTATTTCGAGGATATGTTTTTAACTAGTGTGTGTTTTAGAGCCTAGTAATTTATGGTTCTTACTCACCCAATCTCTCTCTTCTGAATTCAATTTCTCAGCATGTCATTGTTCAAGATTTTGCTTCATTATTCAAGACACGTCAAATTGGGTCAAATAAAATTGCTCAACAACAACTCATCATTTTCACATCTCACCCACCAAAAATTAAAAAAAAAAAAAAGAAAAAACGAATGTGCTTTCGTGATGATCGATGATGAAGATTGATCTGCCTTTGCGATGATCTGATTTGATGTTGATAATTTTGATTCTTCTCTGTAGTTGTCTTTTTATGATCAATAAAAGAAAAAAGGATCTAGTCATCTGATTTTTTGATGATGTGATCAATTTGGTTATTGAATTAGAGTAATTAAATTAGAGTAAGAAAAAAGAGAGAAGAATTTCGAACAAGTTGAAGCAATAAAGCAGCTTCTGAATTGTGATAATTGTCGCCCACCAATATTTTAAATTTTGTTTTCCCTTTTTTGTTTTAAAAAAGAAAAATTGTTTTCCTTTTTTTATACCAAACAAAAGGAAATTAATTGGTTGTTAATCGTTTACGTTTTCTTAGTAATACCAAACAACTAGTAAGGGTAACACTATACATTACCCTTTCCCCTCCTAATTTGTTTCCATTCCGTTACCTTTACAAAGTTGATACCAAACGCCCCCTTAGTTTCATGTGGGTTTTTTTTTTAATTTTTATTTTATTTTGGGGTAATTTAGTATGAATTAGTACTTTTAGTTCAACTTGAAGAGTTGATAATGATAAGTGTCATTCTCGTGTAAGAAGAATAGGAAATGGAAGTTTTTGTTTATTGGTAAATATATGGTACTCCCACATTAATTATTATGAGATTATTGTAATATATTGATTTTGCTTCTGGGGTAGCTTAATTTGAGCTATAATTTGTTGGGTTGAAGTGGTTTTTGTGCGAATTTGTGTTTTTTTTTGCTGTTTATACTTAGTTGTTTCTTCTTGTTGTGTTTTTTCTTCTGAACAATGGGTTTTGACTTCTGATTGCATTTTTTCATGTCTATGTCACAAATTTGAGTAAGCTGAAAAACTGACTTGTGAAATTGAGGATATATGGATGGAATGACAATTTCTTTGCAGTTGTAGGGTTCTATGCTGCTGAGTGCTGACCTGCTGTAATGATGTTGCTGCTGCCCTGCTGCTTGTTGCTACTGCTGTTAAACAATTGTTAAAGTTGTAATGTTGAACAATTTTATTTTTTTTTGGGATGAGGTGTTGAGCTTTTATAACTTTGAATTATAACTTTGAAGTTTTAGAACTTGTTAATGTTGTTTAAATCTCATTAAGCATTTATGCTACTACATATGTTGTTGAATATAATATTTATATGATTTAAGCCCACAAAAATTGCAGATTAAATCCCAAATAAACAAGGCCCAAAAAAATTCGGTTTGGTTCGGTTTTCTCTTTTGAAACCGAAATTTGTATGGTTTGGTTTGGTTTGGTTTGGTTTCAAAAGTAAAGTGGTGCGGTTTGGTTTCCAAAAACCAAAAACCGAACAAAAATTGCAGATTAAATCCCAAATAAACAAGGCCCAAAAAAATTCGGTTTGGTTCGGTTTTCTCTTTTGAAACCGAAATTTGTATGGTTTGGTTTGGTTTGGTTTCAAAAGTAAAGTGGTGCGGTTTGGTTTCCAAAAACCAAAAACCGAATTAGTGTGGTTCGGTTTCGGTTTGGCCTATAAACCAAACCGAAAACCGAACTTTCACCCCTAATCACAAAACAATCAACCACTAGGCATATTATTTGAATAGGGAGGGGGTTGAGAGTTAGAAAAGGTACCTCTCCCCTTAAATTGGGAGGGAGAATTTCAAGCTTGAGAAGAAGAGGAACCTTCCAACTTGGCCTTGATTGCGGTCATTTCTTTCCCCAAGTTTGTCATTTGTGAGGATAAGTTGTTGATTGCATTTAGATGGTCTATAGAGTACACCGAAGAGCAACTCTTGCTAGTTGAATCCTTCTCACCATCTTGCCAATCTTTATAGACCACTTTTTTAAGGGGGGTAAGTCGGATATCATTCCTCTAATTAAACCACTTGTTTGAACCTGATAGAGGAGTAAACTAGTCGTTAATTGCCTATCCCAAAATCAAACACTATTTATAAAATCCTAAACCAACCTAAAACAGGTATAGGTAAGTATAGGGTCGAAACCAAAGGAGTTAATTGGTTTTATCTTTAGCCTAAATCAAGCTATTTCGGAGATTGAAGTGAGAAAATGGTTGGTGTTATGATAGCAAATTAGACTAATCAAGTAATTCGATAAGCTAAATGCTAGGGATATTGGTTCCACATGCTAATTCAATAATCGTGCTAATCGACAATTTCTTCGTTTGATTCAAGCATTGCAAAGGACAAAAAATAGTAACAATCAAGAGAGTTCAAGAGCTATCTCCTAGAGGCCAAACTAGGGGTCACTATGTTTGACTAATCAAGGAAATTCACAATCAAACTCAATCAATTAAAGCAATTCTCAAATTGATGGGTCATGTCATTAAGAAATGCAATGCAATCTAGATTAATCTTATAGGTTGATCATTCCTAATCTAATTAATCACATGCAAAACTATGTCAGCCAATTTAATTGCAACAATTCAATCAATCAAAGATCATCAACTAGCACAAATTATCAATCAAGCATGCTTCCCCTTCTCCCTAGCAACTAATCTACTCACTAATCATGGTGTAACTCAAGAATTATTATTGATCATCATTCTTGATTAAAATCAAGAGAAAGCAATATCAAATGCAATATCCAAATCAAATCCAAGAAATACAAACAATCAAAGATGAAACTAAATCAATCAAGTAAGAGATGAATTAGAAGAAGAAAATCTTACTAACATTAATGATTGAAAATGAAGAAATCCAAGCACAATTGATCCAATGTTGAAATACTAATCCAATACCAAGAACTTCTCTCTAACTTCTCTCTCTAAAATTAAGCTAATGAAAATTATCTAAAATTTATCTTCAAAAAGGAATTACAAGTGTATTTATAGGAAAAGAAGAAAAACAGGATTCCCGCGCCCTCTCCAATAAACCCCGCGCCCGCGGAAAAATGCGTACGGAACCCATAAAAAACTCCGCGGGCTTTTTGGGAAACACCCGCGCCCGCGGAAAAAGCACCCGCGCCTTCGGAAAAAGCGCGGCGAATCCCCTACTCCCAAAGGATGATCAGAGGGCCGCGGGCTCTCCAAACTACCCGTGCCCGCGCCAGCTGCATTCATACTCGCGCCCGCGGCAGACTGGCAGGGCTTGATGCCCTCTCCATGCCCTCTCTAAGCCCTCTCCAAGCCGATAATTTCCTCCTTTCTTAATCAATATACCCCAACTTGATTCCCTTGCAAAGACAAATCCTAGATACCTACAAAAACAAACAACGAAAAGGAATAAAAGGGGAAAAGAACCAAATAAAAGGAAAACACGAAAAACACAAGGAAAGAAAGAAAGAAAGGGATTAAAGGAAAAAGGACCAAAAATAAGATAAGAAAATATAAAAAGGAAGATGAAATCATCCTAAAAGACTAACCTATGAGTGCCATAAATGACACTCATCAGAACCCTATACTTAACTCCCAAAAATGTATACCTTATTTTCGCCAAAAATATGCACCCTATTTTTAATTTTTTTCTTTTTCAAAACGTAAAGTCAAAGTCAATTTGAGTCAAGTCATTAAAACAAAATGGTTTAATTTACAGCGCGTGGTCAAGGAAGGAAGGGCGTTTGATCAAAGACAACCTTTTTATTCAAGTTCAACTTTTCGACAAGCCAATCGCTTGTAAAGGAAAGCTAAGACAATAATGGCAACTCAAGAGGAATTTAATGAACTTAGGAACCTATTGATTACTGTGACTGAGGCGTTAAAGGTTTTAACCCTCAAAATCAATGATCTTGTGAAGTAACAACAGATGGACCTCATGCAAGAAAGTATGAGCAAACTGTCTAGTGACTATAAGTTTTAAGGAATTAGCTCACAAGGCGTCTCGGTGGACAAGGATCTTCTTCCGCAGAAGTTCAATGCCAACGACATCCCGAAATTCAAAGCGACGGACAACCCTTACCTTCACCTAAGTGCCTTCGAAACAATAATGAGCATTAAGGGTATTGACAAAAAGGTGTTTCCCTCTTTGTTCTCCCTATCTCTTGAAACCGTTTGCCAACAATGGTTCTTCTCTCTTGAGAAAGAAAGAACCTCTACTTGGGAGTCTATAGTAAACGCTTTCATTGATAGATACAAGTGCAACATTCAAGTTGAAACTGACTTTAGGGAACTTTAAATCCTCAAGCAGAAGGAGAATGAAGGTTTCACTTCTTTCTTCAACAAATGGAGAGAAACCTCTGCTAAGATGATTGAAGTACCAAGTGAAAAAGAATCTGTAAGGTTATTCATCAAGAACCTCCAAGAGAAGTACTCCAAGCATCTCAAATACCAGAATAATTTCCATACCTTCAAGGTCGTCTATGACATTGGAATCAATATTGAAGACGACCTGACTAAGCTGAAAGATACTAACAGTAACTCTAACAGTGGCCGGAAAGGCAAGAAGAACGACAATCCTTCTTCTTCCAAAACCACCCACTCAAACAATGTTAGTACCTTTATCTTAAGTGAAGTCCTTGCTATGAATAATCAAGGACAAAAGAAACAATTTAGGAGGAATTTTACTCCTATTGGTATGAGTTATGACACCACATTTAACCGATTAAATGCAAAAGGTTTTATAACTCTTACTGGACCATTTGGGGACCCACTGGTCGAGAAAAGGATAGCTAATTGGAACCCCAATGCACATTGAAAATATCGCCAAGGTAGGGGCCATCTTACTGAAAATTGTTGAAAGCTTAAGGAAGATATCCAAGATTTAATCGATAACAACAAACTGCCCTTGCCTCCTGCCAATAAGAAGCCGAGCATTGATAATGCACCTCTCGCTCACTCCTTGGCCATCTCTGATGAGGAAAACGAGGTTGATCCCTCATCTCTCATCAGGCCTATCGAAGAAATCCATGCTATTGAAGAAGAGGAGGAGATCTTTTTCGATGCCATGGATGACTTTCCTGAATTAGGAAGTAAAGAGGATATACAATTGCTTACATTGTCCATGTTGGAGGGATCAAATGCGTGAAGCTCTCGAAGTTGTGAAGAAACAATCAAAAGAGCTTCAGGAAAAATGTGACAAGGTCCCATCCACAAAGAAGAGGCCCTTCTCTCTACAAGTAATTGACAGACCCAAGAAGATTAATAAACTCTATACTCCAATTAAGATTTCATATGCTAAAATGTTCAAAATGCTCTCTGAGAGTGGCAAGGTCAAACCTCTCGAACCGAGACCATTTGAATCGCTAAAAAGGACAGATAGGTTCTACTGTCAATATCATCGATCAGGGGGTCACACTATTGTATACGTTTTTAAATTTAAAGATTTAATTCTGAAAATGATTGATGACAAAAAGTTAGTCCAAATTCCACAAGAGGAAGACATAAGTATTAATGGAGTTTTGGACAATGATGAAGAAGATGTTTACTTAAAAGACATGGATGGACCTTCACCCTTAGTGTCATATGCCATGGATGATTTCTGGGTTGAAGAAGACTCATTTATAGACGTCCTCACGAGATTTGGGAGAATGCAACCTCCCATTTCAACATAACCTATACCAACTGTGCAACAAGTTCCCATATCTGTCATAGTAGACAATGATATTGTCAAACAGTTCAAGAAAACCAAGGTTGAGATGAATGTATGGAAACCTCTAGCAACATCTTGAGAACATAGGTTGGTAGTGATGAATGCCTTGGATAAGATAGGGATAGATTCTGACACCACTCCTGAGGGGTTGGCTAACTTTCTTACGAGTGATCTCCCTAGTCCTATCAACTTGATCACCTTTATCGACAAGGATTTACCTCTAGAAGGTGACAAGCATTATAAGGCACTAAACCTCACAGTAGTTTACAAGAGAATGAACGTCCCTATGACTCTAGTAGACAGTGGGTCGGCCTTTAATGTCTGTCAACTCAAAACTGCGAGGTTGCTAGGCATAAGGGATGAAGACTTAACCCCGTCAACATAAGGAATAAGAGCTTACGATAACACTCGTCATCAAGCTCTTAAAAAGATTACCATGAATAAGAGCTTACGATAACACGCTACTACATTTCAAGTAGTAGATATTAAGGCTTCATTCAATTTATTGTTCGGACGCCCTTGGCTTCATGACCTAAAGGCCGTCCCTTCATCCCTTTACCAACAGGTAAAGGCCATAGTTGGAGGAATTCCCATTACGATTGATGCTTCA